ATTGAAACTATATGTCTATGGGGGGAATATTCTTCTCCGTGTTCAGAATGTGACGGCACCACTACTGAACCCCGTCTGTTCTGTCTAGTTTGTATCTAGTTCACATCATCTACCTCGAGAAAATCCAGGTTGTGTCACGTATCTGCTTCTGTGTAATAAACAAGGGATGGGCAGTTTTCCATGGGTATCTTTATCGTGACATTCATTATTCAGTCTGTGTGGGCTACTTTGCATTGACAGATTTAAACCAACATTTCTAACTGCTAGTCTTAAAAAATGAATGATAGAAAAGTACGCAGGATAAAATGGCACACATTTTCGTGATAATCTGTTGAGGATTTAATGACCTGATATCTGACTCCAATTAGATTATGTGATAATCGCTACTAAATTACGAGTCTAAGCTACCCTCGTATATAATTATCGGCTTGAATCACGTTAGCGAATAATGGAATTAAATAAGTCGAATACGAGAGCGGAGTTCGAATAAGTATATTTCACACGACCGTTGGTTCAGGCAGACGATCAGAGAAGTGAACTGTAAAAAGTGGAGAGCAGAGAGCGAGGCGAAACGAAATGACGCATAATGTAGAATGCGAGTGAGCCAACTCGTCTTTATCAAGTGTCACTCAATATTTGTACTCAGACAAAAATGAGTTGCAGTCATATGATGACTTGAGAAGACTGTTATGTACAGAGGCTAGAATAACCCATATGGGCTTGGCATGGTACCAGCCTCTTCAAGACATGGTGGTTGCAAAAACTCTTCGTTCAACGCCAGAACTGAACTCCGTAAATAGAGTTTAATAATGGCTTGCGGTCAAGTCTGGGATGCACTCCTAACACTATATGACGCACGTCATGTGTATCTGTGGTGTTTAAATGAACTAATGACTCTTTTGTACTTGTTGAATGCTTGATTTCGAATCCCAAATACAGCAAAGTCGTTAGTGCTTATCTAGTACTTCTTGATCCAATTACGTTATTTATGGAATTCTTAGTTTATACTATAATTCAAATACTTCTAATTACCACATTGACGTCGCGATGGAGCCTGTGTTGGAAGTGTTGGATATACATTCGGATTTTGATGCGTTTGATGACCAAGGAAGATTTTGAGGTTGTTAATATTGTTGCATATTTCCTCACATTCATGGGAAAAGAAACATACAGGTTATTAGAAACTCTGGCTGTACCGGAGAAGTCCATTTCGCTTTCTTATTCAACTCTAAAGGAACTACTGCTAGACTATGTTAATCATACAAATTTCGAATGTGGTAAAGAAGGAAGATTTCGTAAAATGATTCATTAGGATATAAAAAATTCCACTACATTACGTCATGCCAACCTAGTGCATACCCAAGGTTATGCAGATACTTCATTGAAAGTTGCGATGCAGTTCACGAAAATGGGCACAAGTTTGGTCAACGTTTGTCCTGTGGCAGGTTCCACTCTTTTAATTCATGTAAATTTCGTAATTCTAAGTGCTTTAAATGTTGTGATGTTGGACATATTCAGTCAGTTTGTATTATTACTGTTCATCTTGCTGCAACTAATATTAAGTCTTGTAATCCTGATTCTATTAAGTTGAGTATTTATAATGATGATTTATCTTTTTCAACGATTTCAAAAGACTGTAGAATCGTATAGCAGTTCAGAGTTAAGTGAATCTCAGAATTCTTGCGAGACAACAATTTCTAATCAATCGAATCATCATATTTCTCATGTTATTGTACCAGATATGGTTTTTCCTAATGATTCACTTATTTCTGACGAAATTCCTTGCAAATCTGAGGAAAATATGTTGAATGAACGTACTCATGATCTTAAACCTGATGTAGTTTTGATATATGCTGATTTTTCCAATGATCCTTTACTCTGCGATGACATTCTTAATAAATTCGAGGAAACTATTTCAGAAGAGTCAAATCTTGATGTTATATCAAACATTATTTGTCTTCACAATGCATTTGTATATTGTGGGAAATTTGTTCAATACGAAGCACGAGTACTAAATGAGCTCGAGTTTGGTTACAATTCAGATGGTTTCATATCAACTGCTGTTTACCCTTATCACGAAAACACTTCTAATGTTTACTCTAACCAATGTGAGAAATGTGTTTTAAATGAAGCAACATCAATCATAAGTTAGAGGTATAATGATCCACCATTATTTCGTGGAGGAGGGTAGTGTTGGAAAATCTATGGGTCGAATTCTAGATAATAGTGGTTTCGGTACACAACTGACATGCTTATTACACAATCCCAGGAAGCAGGTGAATCTGTTCTGATTTCGGTTGTTAATTCTGATACTAATGAGTGCATTCTAGATAAAAGAGTTTTATCCGTTATATTGTCGAATAGACACAGAATGATCTTAAGAAGAAGACGTACAATCGATTATAGACACTTGGACTCCAATTTGAGCTGGTTCGGATGTGGTGTTTGAATGAACTAACGACCCCTTTGTACTTGTTGAATGCTTGATTTCGAATCTCAAATACAGTACATTCGCTTGTGCTTATCTAGTACTTTTTGATTTAATTGCGCTATTTCCGGGATTCTGAGTTTATATTATAATTCAATTTTTTTTATTATCATAGTATCTCGACGGTGTTGCTCTCATTTGGAATCTGAACTTGTGCTTCTCACTTCAAACGCTCAATGTGTCATCCATCAAACATGTAAATCTAGACAATCACTTGCATATACGCTTACTGTGCACTCCGTTTGTCTGTACACTCATGAATGCCCTGCGTAAACGTATTACCGACTCATATCCTTTTTTATTCTACGTTACGCTGCCATGATAAGTTATTGATCAAATCTAGAACTTATCAGGTAAGGTATATACCGGGCCAACTAAACCATGAGTTTAAAAAGTATTTATTCAGTACCCTATCTGGATACATGTTACAAAACACATTTAATCATTTTATTCGCAACATTGGTCTTATTTCACGCTTGTTTGACGTAGCGCCTTCATTACTTCATAAGACATCAATGCTTAATGTACCACGTTAAGACCTTATTCAGTCAACTTCCAGTTGATGCTAACAAATCACCTTCATCTAGTGCTTTTGTTATCATTAATTTCCACCGATTGGTTTTCTTAAGTATGTTATGCACGCTTGATGAATCATCGACTCGTCTCTTCAAGTTGTTTCATCCACTCTGCTTTTCACTCTCCTCTCGTAACTCAATTACTTTAAGGCTAGACGGAAATTGTTGAACACTTAATCCTGGTAGATTATCTGAAGGTAGTCCAAAAACGATAACCTCTCTCTCGATGGTGCCGCGTTTGTTAGTGTGAACAGCGACAGTGTGGTATCGCGACACTACTTTACGCTATCTTTTTATTTCTACTTTGTGCAAATCCAAAAATCGAAAATAATTATAAATAATTTTGAAAGTTTACTTTCTGTTTTCATAATCATGTGAAAAAGGATTTTCCATTTTGCGGTACATGCTATCGCGAAATCCTTGAAAATTCATTAACCAGGTACTGCTATGGTAGTTCCTCCATATTTGCATCGCAGACTAGCAATTATTTTAGTGTCTAGAATCAATTAATCAGTATGTGAATTTAACAACCTTGGTACAACTGTGATTGCATTATGGCTATATCGTTCTTGATAAGCTGTTTGTGAAGCCTTGAAGAATCCAGATGTCGTAAGCTACAAGTTGGTTTATTACTCAGTAGAAACGGCCCTCAATCTAATCATTCACGTGACGTTAGCTGTCGTCTTACGGATCTAAAGAAATATATCATTCTGTGCAAGGATTTTTGTGCGCGGTCCTAACAAAGGTGATTTTTAGCTCACCATTTATTTCATGAACTTCAAATCCAGATTGACAATACTAATAAATTCACTCGAAATAAAGTATACCTAGTTAACCGACATCGTCTTTTATGTCTGCGTTGTGGTGGTGAGTTAGAAGTTTTATACTCTTCGAAAGAATGTTGACCATTATCACATAGAATTTACGAGAACACTCCAAAAATGTTCATAAGCCCAGGGCAAGGTACTTATCAATTGACTATCGACGTTCTCATCGAATCATCTACGAGTGGAATTCTTTACTTCAGCACTTCTGGACATCCTCTTAAACACCTACTCAAGCTTAGTTCGAATACTAACCTAAGGGGTAACACCCAGAAACTGGAAACTCAATATAGCAAGACGGGATGTAGACACAACTTCTACTCCTTAAGAGTTGTCAAAAGCTGGAATTCGCTGCCGGCCGAGCTAGTCCAGGCGACTTCTCAGGAGTCCTTCAAGAGGCAACTTGACCTATTCTTAAGGACCAAGGACAGTATCATACTATGATTTACCAATTTCTTTTCCTGTTTTATTGTTAACATACCTAGGTTCCTGCCTGGAGGATTTGGTGATCCCCTGCTACTAGACACAGAAGCCTGTTAAGCGAAAGCTTCTTCTATTCCGTCCACAACCATTTGAACCATTTGAATGTGGTTGACGCTCCATCCGTCGACTCTTTCAAACGAAACTTGGATTAACTGAGAGACCACCATTGCCAAGACTAACACAAACCGTCAAGCCCACTGTCCCTTACAAACTGAAACTGAATCTATATTGTGAAGATAAACAGCTAATTCTGACCAACTGCATTTACGTCCATAAGTACAGGCATATCTGAGAGTTGGGTCATAATTGCTCTTTTTACATGCTGACATAACATACTTAGTGTGCGTATACTTCAAAGATAATCATCAACCACATAAATCATATTACCTAATGTACTTTCAAACAGGTCTCAAAATTATCCCAACATGTGAACCGTCGCGGTTAAATAATGTCATCGAATATTCTTTCTATATCATGCACCAGCACGATAGCATCGTTTTCGTTACTTGAAGGCTGAACGTTATAAGACGTAGTATGGCTAAACTCAATTCAAATCTAACGACGTCTTGATTTAACCGCTACTGCAAAACCTTACGGATTGTCGAGGTGACGCACAAATCATTTTACGATGATTTGACCTTCAAGTGCTCAGCAACCTCCATCAGTGGACGATACCACTGAAGCGTTAACGTTTGTGTGTGCAAATGTCCTTTGGTGAGAAACATTGGTTCTCCGTGTATTCGGTTACACGGTAGATTAATCGACGTGTATTTAGGCGAAAAGTAAATAATTCAGTGTGTGCTTAGGCGAAAAGTGAGTAATTCGGCGACATTTCAAACATAAAACGAAGAAAAGGGGGGATTTTGCCCAATTTCCCCATAACAGGCCAAGGAGACTTTTTGCGCGTCCCCCATTTGTCCCCCTTATTGGCATTTTTTCCTCTTCGGTTTCTTGGAAAGGCTTATGTTTTATTGATTACGTAATATATGATACGTAGGAACTCGATCTCTGAACTTCAAAGCGAATTTCTCCAATTCAGGGGAGGCTCCATCAACAATTTTAGAGGCATTCTATGGAAGACGCGGTTAGAAACCTAATAATTCCTTCTTGTCTACATATCTCATGGGGTCTCTTCCCATATATGCAGACTTCAATGTAACCTAAGGAATTTGAGCTAGTTTAGAGAAAACAAAAGCTTTTGTGACCTTAAAGAAAACCCCATGATGCACCGTAAGTTGAGATTTGAAAGTAACAGAGGTATGTTGACATTAACCATGGACCTTCATTGGTCGTAAACACGTTATGTAAACCTAAACATCATCCTAATTTGCTTTGATATTTCTACATAAAGTGTATCAATTTCTTAGATCTCAACAATACCGTTTTTAAAGTTCCTAACATGCTTATATCGTATTTAGAAACGAGTTCCTGGTTTCACATCCTTACTCTTTCCTTCAAAAATTATAATGCCCTTCCAAATAAACTCAGTTCTGTCTCCTTAAGTTCAAACATTCTATAGTGTATCATATATTTGTCCATAATAAGTTGTCCACTCGTATCCTGACACTTCTTAAAATTTTCATGGAAAAGTACTTTCTCTACTCACGTTTTTGATAGACTGTAATTTTCAAGTGTGGAATCTGTGCAGACGTCGTTGTACTAGTTTTATTCAAACAATGTTTAGAACAGCAGTTGTCCTTGTGATTTGCTTTTTTCTTAGAGTATTAATACTTAAATTCAAAGATGGTTACTAATTCGTTCCAGAAACTGCAAAAAGGCACGTATGTACGACAAATGGGTGGGACTAAAGGTAAAACAGAACTGATCAATAATTGTACTCACAAGGACTAGGTAATATCTCATGCTTGCACGGGCCTTGGTAAGCAAAATGTGGATCCGCTTAATGGGAATTTCTTGGTATTCCAGTTCTCACAACTGTTTGACACCTACTTAAAACAATTTGGCAAGTTACTATCTAAAATCTCACCAACATATATATATATGAAGGGTCTTTTCTCCCTACATTCAAGTCAGTCTTATCATACGTATACCATTTTCTTTGTCCAAAAACTTGTCTTCTAATAATTATTAGCACCACTTGGGGAATCCAGACAATATAGTTCGGTTAAACCAAGAGGCTAGAGTACACTACCTGAGTCCGTAAAACTAGATCTACGGGCACGCTAAATAAACTCATGTGGGAATAAATGTTTCTATGTAGTTGCCTGGGCGGAGTTATCCTCCAGTTTTATCTAAGATCCTATTCAGTCATTAACGTAATTGGCAAAACTAGTTTGATAATCGAGAGAGTTGCCGATACTTTTTACCAGTTATTTGGTAGATAACAATCACATGGTTACTCTCGTCATCAAGTTGGAGAAAGACTTGACATACAGTCAACAAACCAAGTATTGTTCACGCCCAAACCCAAGTAAAAAATATCATTTCACCTATGGTGTAACGTTGTATGCGCACAGCGCTTTTGTTTATAAATTAATAGTACCATGTATTTTAATATTTTCAGTGTCACATTGAAATAGTGCATAGTACAAATAAAATGGAAAACATTTGTATAACTCCATCATGTGGAAAGCCGTCTAGTCTAAAGTGCCCTGTGTGTCGTGATTTGGGGATTGAAACATCATTCTTCTGTTCACAAGTATTTGTCAAGAAATAACAATATTTTCATGTGTTAATTTCGAGGAATGTTTCAAACAGTTTTGGAAAACACATAAAGCAATACACGTTGTCGGTACTGGTCAGTAAACAATAATTCAAAGCTTACCTCATTACAGAAGATACGTGCGAAGATGTTCGTTTCAACGGATATAAATTTACAGGTCAATTACGACCTGCTAAAAAAGTAATCTTGTTTACTTCTATACACAATGCTTTCAGACACCTAAACGAGAAGTGAAGAGTTCCATTGAATTCCCAGACTACGCCATCACAGGTATTTGGAGACTTTGTTTACTTTCATCTTAATCATGTAGGGATACCCGTTTCAGAACGCCAGGCGAAAAGTTCTCATAGTATTGTTGCTTTAAACGACGATGAAATAGAATGCATGCGTGTTACAGGAAAGGTAATTTGCTATTTAAAATGGAAACATATCCCAGTAAAATTTCAGTGCTGAGTTGCCTAATACAATGTATGCGTCTCAACTAACTTTATGATACTAAAAAAAGTTGAGCTACACTTTTACTAATAATTTTTCAATTGTTAGATTTATGTTTCAAGGATGTAGTTTTGCTTGTTTTTATATTTTTATGATATTACCGGTTATTGTTATAGTTTTCACCATTACTATTATCTCATTTCTCCGGCATCTTAGTGAAGTATCCCTCTTTCCGACCTACTGTTGCTTGTTCTTTCTATCAAAATATGGTACGACACTGCAATTACTTCTATTTCTGACTTCTGTGTCTTGGCTACTATGTTATGTGGTCCTGTTACTTTTTCATTTTTGATTTGTCTGCCGGCCCTGGTAATTCGTTTGATCACCTGTTAGTCATCATATGTGGGTAGGTTTTCGTATGCTGTCTTGATGTAGAGTGGAGCAAATAGAGCCGGTCAATTCAAAAAACTTCGAACTAACCTATCGCTCGCTCCTTTGCTTCTGATCATCTTCACTGCCACCGTTGGTGGATGCATAACGTGAGTCTCATTCAAGACAATCTCTTCTTTGCTGAGGATTCTTCTGTGATCCTAGATCCATGAGATGCGGATTGTATGAGTGCCTTCGTGTTTCTTTAGAAAGCATTATTGAAACTATATGTCTATGGGGGGAATATTCTTCTCCGTGTTCAGAATGTGACGGCACCACTACTGAACCCCGTCTGTTCTGTCTAGTTTGTATCTAGTTCACATCATCTACCTCGAGAAAATCCAGGTTGTGTCACGTATCTGCTTCTGTGTAATAAACAAGGGATGGGCAGTTTTCCATGGGTATCTTTATCGTGACATTCATTATTCAGTCTGTGTGGGCTACTTTGCATTGACAGATTTAAACCAACATTTCTAACTGCTAGTCTTAAAAAATGAATGATAGAAAAGTACGCAGGATAAAATGGCACACATTTTCGTGATAATCTGTTGAGGATTTAATGACCTGATATCTGACTCCAATTAGATTATGTGATAATCGCTACTAAATTACGAGTCTAAGCTACCCTCGTATATAATTATCGGCTTGAATCACGTTAGCGAATAATGGAATTAAATAAGTCGAATACGAGAGCGGAGTTCGAATAAGTATATTTCACACGACCGTTGGTTCAGGCAGACGATCAGAGAAGTGAACTGTAAAAAGTGGAGAGCAGAGAGCGAGGCGAAACGAAATGACGCATAATGTAGAATGCGAGTGAGCCAACTCGTCTTTATCAAGTGTCACTCAATATTTGTACTCAGACAAAAATGAGTTGCAGTCATATGATGACTTGAGAAGACTGTTATGTACAGAGGCTAGAATAACCCATATAGGCTTGGCATGGTACCAGCCTCTTCAAGACATGGTGGTTGCAAAAACTCTTCGTTCAACGCCAGAACTGAACTCCGTAAATAGAGTTTAATAATGGCTTGCGGTCAAGTCTGGGATGCACTCCTAACACTATATGACGCACGTCATGTGTATCTGTGGTGTTTAAATGAACTAATGACTCTTTTGTACTTGTTGAATGCTTGATTTCGAATCCCAAATACAGCAAAGTCGTTAGTGCTTATCTAGTACTTCTTGATCCAATTACGTTATTTATGGAATTCTTAGTTTATACTATAATTCAAATACTTCTAATTACCACATTGACGTCGCGATGGAGCCTGTGTTGGAAGTGTTGGATATACATTCGGATTTTGATGCGTTTGATGACCAAGGAAGATTTTGAGGTTGTTAATATTGTTGCATATTTCCTCACATTCATGGGAAAAGAAACATACAGGTTATTAGAAACTCTGGCTGTACCGGAGAAGTCCATTTCGCTTTCTTATTCAACTCTAAAGGAACTACTGCTAGACTATGTTAATCATACAAATTTCGAATGTGGTAAAGAAGGAAGATTTCGTAAAATGATTCATTAGGATATAAAAAATTCCACTACATTACGTCATGCCAACCTAGTGCATACCCAAGGTTATGCAGATACTTCATTGAAAGTTGCGATGCAGTTCACGAAAATGGGCACAAGTTTGGTCAACGTTTGTCCTGTGGCAGGTTCCACTCTTTTAATTCATGTAAATTTCGTAATTCTAAGTGCTTTAAATGTTGTGATGTTGGACATATTCAGTCAGTTTGTATTATTACTGTTCATCTTGCTGCAACTAATATTAAGTCTTGTAATCCTGATTCTATTAAGTTGAGTATTTATAATGATGATTTATCTTTTTCAACGATTTCAAAAGACTGTAGAATCGTATAGCAGTTCAGAGTTAAGTGAATCTCAGAATTCTTGCGAGACAACAATTTCTAATCAATCGAATCATCATATTTCTCATGTTATTGTACCAGATATGGTTTTTCCTAATGATTCACTTATTTCTGACGAAATTCCTTGCAAATCTGAGGAAAATATGTTGAATGAACGTACTCATGATCTTAAACCTGATGTAGTTTTGATATATGCTGATTTTTCCAATGATCCTTTACTCTGCGATGACATTCTTAATAAATTCGAGGAAACTATTTCAGAAGAGTCAAATCTTGATGTTATATCAAACATTATTTGTCTTCACAATGCATTTGTATATTGTGGGAAATTTGTTCAATACGAAGCACGAGTACTAAATGAGCTCGAGTTTGGTTACAATTCAGATGGTTTCATATCAACTGCTGTTTACCCTTATCACGAAAACACTTCTAATGTTTACTCTAACCAATGTGAGAAATGTGTTTTAAATGAAGCAACATCAATCATAAGTTAGAGGTATAATGATCCACCATTATTTCGTGGAGGAGGGTAGTGTTGGAAAATCTATGGGTCGAATTCTAGATAATAGTGGTTTCGGTACACAACTGACATGCTTATTACACAATCCCAGGAAGCAGGTGAATCTGTTCTGATTTCGGTTGTTAATTCTGATACTAATGAGTGCATTCTAGATAAAAGAGTTTTATCCGTTATATTGTCGAATAGACACAGAATGATCTTAAGAAGAAGACGTACAATCGATTATAGACACTTGGACTCCAATTTGAGCTGGTTCGGATGTGGTGTTTGAATGAACTAACGACCCCTTTGTACTTGTTGAATGCTTGATTTCGAATCTCAAATACAGTACATTCGCTTGTGCTTATCTAGTACTTTTTGATTTAATTGCGCTATTTCCGGGATTCTGAGTTTATATTATAATTCAATTTTTTTTATTATCATAGTATCTCGACGGTGTTGCTCTCATTTGGAATCTGAACTTGTGCTTCTCACTTCAAACGCTCAATGTGTCATCCATCAAACATGTAAATCTAGACAATCACTTGCATATACGCTTACTGTGCACTCCGTTTGTCTGTACACTCATGAATGCCCTGCGTAAACGTATTACCGACTCATATCCTTTTTTATTCTACGTTACGCTGCCATGATAAGTTATTGATCAAATCTAGAACTTATCAGGTAAGGTATATACCGGGCCAACTAAACCATGAGTTTAAAAAGTATTTATTCAGTACCCTATCTGGATACATGTTACAAAACACATTTAATCATTTTATTCGCAACATTGGTCTTATTTCACGCTTGTTTGACGTAGCGCCTTCATTACTTCATAAGACATCAATGCTTAATGTACCACGTTAAGACCTTATTCAGTCAACTTCCAGTTGATGCTAACAAATCACCTTCATCTAGTGCTTTTGTTATCATTAATTTCCACCGATTGGTTTTCTTAAGTATGTTATGCACGCTTGATGAATCATCGACTCGTCTCTTCAAGTTGTTTCATCCACTCTGCTTTTCACTCTCCTCTCGTAACTCAATTACTTTAAGGCTAGACGGAAATTGTTGAACACTTAATCCTGGTAGATTATCTGAAGGTAGTCCAAAAACGATAACCTCTCTCTCGATGGTGCCGCGTTTGTTAGTGTGAACAGCGACAGTGTGGTATCGCGACACTACTTTACGCTATCTTTTTATTTCTACTTTGTGCAAATCCAAAAATCGAAAATAATTATAAATAATTTTGAAAGTTTACTTTCTGTTTTCATAATCATGTGAAAAAGGATTTTCCATTTTGCGGTACATGCTATCGCGAAATCCTTGAAAATTCATTAACCAGGTACTGCTATGGTAGTTCCTCCATATTTGCATCGCAGACTAGCAATTATTTTAGTGTCTAGAATCAATTAATCAGTATGTGAATTTAACAACCTTGGTACAACTGTGATTGCATTATGGCTATATCGTTCTTGATAAGCTGTTTGTGAAGCCTTGAAGAATCCAGATGTCGTAAGCTACAAGTTGGTTTATTACTCAGTAGAAACGGCCCTCAATCTAATCATTCACGTGACGTTAGCTGTCGTCTTACGGATCTAAAGAAATATATCATTCTGTGCAAGGATTTTTGTGCGCGGTCCTAACAAAGGTGATTTTTAGCTCACCATTTATTTCATGAACTTCAAATCCAGATTGACAATACTAATAAATTCACTCGAAATAAAGTATACCTAGTTAACCGACATCGTCTTTTATGTCTGCGTTGTGGTGGTGAGTTAGAAGTTTTATACTCTTCGAAAGAATGTTGACCATTATCACATAGAATTTACGAGAACACTCCAAAAATGTTCATAAGCCCAGGGCAAGGTACTTATCAATTGACTATCGACGTTCTCATCGAATCATCTACGAGTGGAATTCTTTACTTCAGCACTTCTGGACATCCTCTTAAACACCTACTCAAGCTTAGTTCGAATACTAACCTAAGGGGTAACACCCAGAAACTGGAAACTCAATATAGCAAGACGGGATGTAGACACAACTTCTACTCCTTAAGAGTTGTCAAAAGCTGGAATTCGCTGCCGGCCGAGCTAGTCCAGGCGACTTCTCAGGAGTCCTTCAAGAGGCAACTTGACCTATTCTTAAGGACCAAGGACAGTATCATACTATGATTTACCAATTTCTTTTCCTGTTTTATTGTTAACATACCTAGGTTCCTGCCTGGAGGATTTGGTGATCCCCTGCTACTAGACACAGAAGCCTGTTAAGCGAAAGCTTCTTCTATTCCGTCCACAACCATTTGAACCATTTGAATGTGGTTGACGCTCCATCCGTCGACTCTTTCAAACGAAACTTGGATTAACTGAGAGACCACCATTGCCAAGACTAACACAAACCGTCAAGCCCACTGTCCCTTACAAACTGAAACTGAATCTATATTGTGAAGATAAACAGCTAATTCTGACCAACTGCATTTACGTCCATAAGTACAGGCATATCTGAGAGTTGGGTCATAATTGCTCTTTTTACATGCTGACATAACATACTTAGTGTGCGTATACTTCAAAGATAATCATCAACCACATAAATCATATTACCTAATGTACTTTCAAACAGGTCTCAAAATTATCCCAACATGTGAACCGTCGCGGTTAAATAATGTCATCGAATATTCTTTCTATATCATGCACCAGCACGATAGCATCGTTTTCGTTACTTGAAGGCTGAACGTTATAAGACGTAGTATGGCTAAACTCAATTCAAATCTAACGACGTCTTGATTTAACCGCTACTGCAAAACCTTACGGATTGTCGAGGTGACGCACAAATCATTTTACGATGATTTGACCTTCAAGTGCTCAGCAACCTCCATCAGTGGACGATACCACTGAAGCGTTAACGTTTGTGTGTGCAAATGTCCTTTGGTGAGAAACATTGGTTCTCCGTGTATTCGGTTACACGGTAGATTAATCGACGTGTATTTAGGCGAAAAGTAAATAATTCAGTGTGTGCTTAGGCGAAAAGTGAGTAATTCGGCGACATTTCAAACATAAAACGAAGAAAAGGGGGGATTTTGCCCAATTTCCCCATAACAGGCCAAGGAGACTTTTTGCGCGTCCCCCATTTGTCCCCCTTATTGGCATTTTTTCCTCTTCGGTTTCTTGGAAAGGCTTATGTTTTATTGATTACGTAATATATGATACGTAGGAACTCGATCTCTGAACTTCAAAGCGAATTTCTCCAATTCAGGGGAGGCTCCATCAACAATTTTAGAGGCATTCTATGGAAGACGCGGTTAGAAACCTAATAATTCCTTCTTGTCTACATATCTCATGGGGTCTCTTCCCATATATGCAGACTTCAATGTAACCTAAGGAATTTGAGCTAGTTTAGAGAAAACAAAAGCTTTTGTGACCTTAAAGAAAACCCCATGATGCACCGTAAGTTGAGATTTGAAAGTAACAGAGGTATGTTGACATTAACCATGGACCTTCATTGGTCGTAAACACGTTATGTAAACCTAAACATCATCCTAATTTGCTTTGATATTTCTACATAAAGTGTATCAATTTCTTAGATCTCAACAATACCGTTTTTAAAGTTCCTAACATGCTTATATCGTATTTAGAAACGAGTTCCTGGTTTCACATCCTTACTCTTTCCTTCAAAAATTATAATGCCCTTCCAAATAAACTCAGTTCTGTCTCCTTAAGTTCAAACATTCTATAGTGTATCATATATTTGTCCATAATAAGTTGTCCACTCGTATCCTGACACTTCTTAAAATTTTCATGGAAAAGTACTTTCTCTACTCACGTTTTTGATAGACTGTAATTTTCAAGTGTGGAATCTGTGCAGACGTCGTTGTACTAGTTTTATTCAAACAATGTTTAGAACAGCAGTTGTCCTTGTGATTTGCTTTTTTCTTAGAGTATTAATACTTAAATTCAAAGATGGTTACTAATTCGTTCCAGAAACTGCAAAAAGGCACGTATGTACGACAAATGGGTGGGACTAAAGGTAAAACAGAACTGATCAATAATTGTACTCACAAGGACTAGGTAATATCTCATGCTTGCACGGGCCTTGGTAAGCAAAATGTGGATCCGCTTAATGGGAATTTCTTGGTATTCCAGTTCTCACAACTGTTTGACACCTACTTAAAACAATTTGGCAAGTTACTATCTAAAATCTCACCAACATATATATATATATGAAGGGTCTTTTCTCCCTACATTCAAGTCAGTCTTATCATACGTATACCATTTTCTTTGTCCAAAAACTTGTCTTCTAATAATTATTAGCACCACTTGGGGAATCCAGACAATATAGTTCGGTTAAACCAAGAGGCTAGAGTACACTACCTGAGTCCGTAAAACTAGATCTACGGGCACGCTAAATAAACTCATGTGGGAATAAATGTTTCTATGTAGTTGCCTGGGCGGAGTTATCCTCCAGTTTTATCTAAGATCCTATTCAGTCATTAACGTAATTGGCAAAACTAGTTTGATAATCGAGAGAGTTGCCGATACTTTTTACCAGTTATTTGGTAGATAACAATCACATGGTTACTCTCGTCATCAAGTTGGAGAAAGACTTGACATACAGTCAACAAACCAAGTATTGTTCACGCCCAAACCCAAGTAAAAAATATCATTTCACCTATGGTGTAACGTTGTATGCGCACAGCGCTTTTGTTTATAAATTAATAGTACCATGTATTTTAATATTTTCAGTGTCACATTGAAATAGTGCATAGTACAAATAAAATGGAAAACATTTGTATAACTCCATCATGTGGAAAGCCGTCTAGTCTAAAGTGCCCTGTGTGTCGTGATTTGGGGATTGAAACATCATTCTTCTGTTCACAAGTATTTGTCAAGAAATAACAATATTTTCATGTGTTAATTTCGAGGAATGTTTCAAACAGTTTTGGAAAACACATAAAGCAATACACGTTGTCGGTACTGGTCAGTAAACAATAATTCAAAGCTTACCTCATTACAGAAGATACGTGCGAAGATGTTCGTTTCAACGGATATAAATTTACAGGTCAATTACGACCTGCTAAAAAAGTAATCTTGTTTACTTCTATACACAATGCTTTCAGACACCTAAACGAGAAGTGAAGAGTTCCATTGAATTCCCAGACTACGCCATCACAGGTATTTGGAGACTTTGTTTACTTTCATCTTAATCATGTAGGGATACCCGTTTCAGAACGCCAGGCGAAAAGTTCTCATAGTATTGTTGCTTTAAACGACGATGAAATAGAATGCATGCGTGTTACAGGAAAGGTAATTTGCTATTTAAAATGGAAACATATCCCAGTAAAATTTCAGTGCTGAGTTGCCTAATACAATGTATGCGTCTCAACTAACTTTATGATACTAAAAAAAGTTGAGCTACACTTTTACTAATAATTTTTCAATTGTTAGATTTATGTTTCAAGGATGTAGTTTTGCTTGTTTTTATATTTTTATGATATTACCGGTTATTCATAAAAAGCCAACCTATTCATCAAGTGCGGGTTCGTGTGGTCGATCTTAAGACACACTGCGTGAAGCAGTAATATTCTCAGACTGTCTAAACTGAAGCTAATGAACCGGGCTAATGAAATCTCTGGCATAGTAGTTGAAGTTCAAACCCCCTAATCAGTGAACCGCACAGAATATTATATTCATCAACACACTATCATTCCACTGTTGTTCTTTATTAATCCCAATATGTTCTAAAAATTCTTGCTACAATTGTGCTGGGAATCGACCAATTATCATGCATTTTACTTGGTAGTATACAGATGTAAATTTATGCCATATTTTTCACTGTTGTCATTAGTCTACTATATTTATACTATTTTCATTTTTATGAAAACTCATAAATCGGTGTATACTTAGGGTGCGAAACATTGTTTGCTTAACAGATTACACTTCGTAATAATGGTTTGGTTTCAAAATGTCTATATGTATCCATAAGTATCCAAAAATTAAAAAATGGTCGGCTAGACGTTTTGTTTGATTTTACAGATCAAACTCAGTCTTTGTTGAAATAAATGATGTCAGAATGGTTTTATACATGTTGTAAATATAGACATTACGTAATTCTTTCATTCATCGTAATTTAGATACCTAATAAGAAATATATGTAGTCGTTGAATATAAATTACAGTTACCAGTTGTTGCTTAGTACTCGATGTTCTACTATCCACTGAGGTAATATTTGACTAACACATGTATCGCATTTCAACTTTTCATCTGACGAAACAGTAAACAATTTATATGTGTATGTTTATCAAACAATACGTTGAGAACTGTGCATCTTATCTGTTGATGTTCAATTAACAGTTTTTATGTAGTTGTCAGCTGACCATATTTCTTTGCAGTACTTTTGCGTTCTTGATAATAATAAAGTGTGATCTACACTTGCGTTTCAGAAAAAATTATCCACAGTTTGAAATTAGTTCTGAATATTCTTTTTTACTCAGTTTTTACAAATTAATGGTTCCCTTAGTTGACGTCTTATATTTATATTTTCAAGCTTGCCCGTGAAGTCTTAGAAGAAGCAGTAAAAGCTGTAAAAGTTGGTGTAACGACTGATGAAATCGATCGAGTTGTACATGAGGTAAGAAGCTAATTATAGTTTTGTACTCTTGGTGAACCATCACTTGTGAGGTTTTCACCCTTTTCATTTTCGTTTAATTTTGTTACAGACATCCTTTTGAGGATAATACTGTCAGAAATCGTTCTCTAACCAGGAAATTTACTTGTTGACTTAGAATATGCAAATAATTTAGTTTTGTTCAATGATGACCACAAAAAATGCAGTCTTGTGATCTCCATGGGCATCAGTCCAAGCACATTTCAAATATGTTTCTCTTTCTCCAACTCCCAAATGTTACTTTAGACCCTATTTTTATCAAGGTCTATGCACAGTTGTTTTTAACGGTTGCAAAATAATCTTTTAGGGATGTCCACCAATAGATAGATTTATTTGTCTTCAGAATAGTCTTTATTACCTGTGTGTGCTGTATATCTAAGACCCGTAATACAGATCTTATCAGACTACCATATATTCACTTCAACTATCGATTCAAGAAGTTTATTTTATATCCACTTATCCGAGAACCCTATAACATCAGCATCCGGCTTTGCAAACACTTGTTCCATTGAGCTCGTATAGAGAGGTATCACTAATTGACTGGATCCAAAATAAAAGTTGTAATTTGCTATTTAATTAGAAGACCTCATCAAAGCGCGAAGAAATTAAGTTTCTGTAGATTCCTTGAGATATACCGGTCAGGAAATTTTACGAATCTTGAGTAAGGACTAGGAACTCTGGTCTGGGCATACTTATCAATTGGAACCAAAAGCTTCATCTGGCTGCTACGTGAGGCTCTTTTATCTCGCTCGAGCTACTGGCAGCAAAACATGTAGTGTCTGTGGAACGATTCACTGTTGAACGCTTGTTAAAGCATTTCAAGGGACAATCTAACCAACCTGTTGCCCTAGTAATGTTGTTCATACTGTTCTGGGCTTGTGACTACTGATTTATCTAATAAGGTCGACTTCTGTAAGAAATTGAAGCCTTTAGAGCTTCACAAGTCACCTGACCCAGAATAGCTACTTCAGTTCTTTTTTATGGTGGTGGCAAACTTTTGGCAAATAGACCGATTGGTTTGTTTGGGAGAATTCGGAAAACAAAGGGTGTTCCATCTTGGATTGGCGCGATTGTCATTCTCATCTTTGAAAGTGCCCTACGTAATATATACGAAAACTACCGAGCCATATATTTACTTTCGATTGCTTCCAAACTAGAGGCTTCCATCATACTTCACAGGTTACACAGAACCCGTGGAAGGTTCACTTTGGTCAGATTTATTTCTTTTCTGGTCATGGGTGTATTGATCGCATCCTCAATTCCTATCCCTCTGTTGGCCAACACTCGTATTCCCTGATATCAGGGCCGCCCTCAGTTAATTGAGTAGTGCTGCGCTTTAAGGCTGTGCGTGGCTCTGTACACAACAAATGCTTCAGGTACAGTAAGGACGTATAACCGCCTCCCTCCATTCTTCCTGTCTAGTAGTATGGTTGAAGAGGGTTACGTAATTCCTGCCCAAATTTTCTGTCGACATTATCCCTGGCTGTAAAGGAAGCGCGTTATAGTGATGGTGGTCTGAATCTTTTAATTGGGAAAAAGACTTCGATTTCGAGTTCGTAGATGACATTTTCTAACTGTGCAATGATAATGTGTCCAAATCGCACCTAATTAGTTGACCATAAGTGATCGTATATATAAGCTATATCTTATACTTTCAAAATACAAAACACTGTAGCAAGATTGCCCGGAGATCGTGCCTACACCCATTCTTTATTGTGAACCACTAAAAGTAATGGAAAAATCCTTGTATCCAGTTTGCTGTCAGTACTAATGATGGCGTGGCTAATAAAACCAAACTGTGCAGTGAAGGTCAAGACGGCTTATGTCAATATATATTGAATTATTCCGTCATTGATATTGAGGATCAAATTTTGTCATGTCTTTATCGGCACATGTGGATATCCTACAGATTGCTTTTATGTAGCTGTAGTATTTTAGGCTTTATAGAATAGATAGATTTTGGCTGGTTTCTGAGGCCTATGATTCTCTTTTCGTCCCGTCAGTTGAATGTACTTGAAATTGGGTTGATGTTCATACTGAGACTCGAACCCGATACCTCTCATTTTGAACGTCCAATCCACTATCCACTGAAATGTTACAGCTACATCCAGCTGATCAAACACCCAACTTGGATTTGACTGCTAGTCACAACCAATCTGTTCTTTATCATCCGAATGTTATTTTTAAGTTTGTATTGGCTAATTATTTTGTTCTCGCATTTTAAGGCATGCATTGAACGTGAATGTTATCCTTCTCCACTAAACTACTTCAATTTTCCGAAGTCATGTTGCACGTAAGTCTGCGAAATTATTGTAATCCCAGTTTTTCGTTTGCTTTAATTTTTCAAGAATGTTTGATACTTTGAATATATAAGCATATAGAATCAAATGTTTCAAATATCAAACCAAGTCATAGTATGTAATATTATCTGCTTAAAAATTATATCACGTTTTGGATTAACAATTTCGATTATATCACCAATTTTAACTAAAAAAAAGTCCAAAATCTTTAATGAATCAGTGTTATTCAGCATATTATTGTGTTTTATAGTGTAGGTGCTTTGAAATCATTCATTTTTGGATTCTTAGCATTCTACATAGTGAACACATGGCTTATGATACTTGTATTATTTCCAGCAGATAGAATAGTATTATTATTTTCTAAGTGTCTGTTCAAACGTATATTCATTCAAAAAGGATTTCAACCAGTTTCATCAATTTGTAATGATAATGATACTTTTACAATTGATTGATCATTAAGCAGTGACCACTGTCAAATATGTCAAGTCCTTAGTGTTGATCGTTTTTTATCGATGAAGTTGTAATGTGGCCACTAGTGACTCAACATCACACGCACTATTTTAATAGATAGGGTGGTAGTCGACGAGAAACCGTAAACCTAAGTTTCGTGCTATTTAGCACTTGTGAACAAGATTTACCTGTAATCCTGAAGCGAATGATGCTCTCTGGTGTATTTCGACCTCGTGTCACCCTACAGCAGATCAATGGCGGCTAGAATTGATCTGTGTCAATATCTCTGATTTTGAATCTGGGTGACTCGAGATCGAATTCGCCAGGCCTCTGAAGAGTGCTAAGTGGTACGATAATTACACTAGCTTGATCACTTCAGTATCCTCTCAGCTTAAATACCTTTTCGTGTAACTATTCATTGGGTATCCGAGATTTTTGCTCTCTTCGTATGAAAATCTTCAACATTCACATATTCATTCATACATACTTACAACAGTTATTATTCTGTTTTACTTTTACTATCAATATTTCAGATCGGTTAACGAAGTGATCTGTCATGGAATACCAGATATGCGACCTTTACGAAATGGCGATATTCTGAATAGTAAGTTTTTAAAAGTCGCACAATTTATTTGCTCAATAGATTTTTATTGTGGTTTTTTTATCTGGATATAATTTCTGCAATCCTCTATTCACTGTTAATATCAATATGTTTACTATATTTGGATTGTTTACCAATAGTGCTATTCTTACTGGGAATATCAGTTCTTTGAGGCTCGTGTAGACACCTTACAACCAAATACCAATTAGCATGAAATTTATACTCCATGGGTTTTCACCCAATTATCCCAAGCCATTTAACATTAGATATACTGCATTATGATCTTAAATTTCAGTTAAACTTGTTGCTATATCTTGAGCGACAGGTTTCAAGCAAGCACTAAGATTTCGATTATATATGTAATATCAGCAACAGTAAAAAAGATTAGGTATGAACACAAGGATACGAGATGAAAGAGTGGATTTGTGGCAGAAAAGTGTAAGAAATTTGAAACTCATGGACTGCAGTCAGTCAAATCAACTGACTGATTGCCTTAACTGGTTAAGATACAATTTGATAACTGAGACTGCTATGGACTATCACATTTATTCTTAATTAAATCTAACTATTCATGATACTTCTTTCTGCTTAGACGTTTATAACATTAGTTTCAATAAAATTCCCGTGTTCTCTCATTGGAACAATATAATTGTTTTCAAATCGTCTTCGGTTTATATGAATCACACATGAAATACGTCATGACTCTAGGAACGTGTGGATTTATGCATAGAAATGTTTTATTTATTCCTACAATAGTTTCATGAATTCACATGAACTTTGACAGCTATAAACATCAGGAACTTTATTCGGTTGTCAAAATGCAGTAAAATTGCTTAAACTACAATTTGGACGCTCATTCTAGCATTTTTGTATATTTCACCAATATATCGTTCATCCGAATTTGTGAGTGACAACCTCTTGTTAGCGGAATGATCAAGTTCCTCATGATATTTCACCCTCAAATTTCTATTGACTTACTATTGTACTTGAGTGAATTTGCCATGACTCAGTCTACTGCACTTCATCTTATCTGTTCAGATAATTTATATTCGAGAGTATACGTAGAGCAATGTTCATTTATCATTTTTCGATGTGTGACAAGATATTTTTTGTTGGCTTTTTGTTATAACGGTTGGTTTTACTTCCTTTATATATATGCACGAATGGGATTTTAATTTACCTTAGACGAGTGTCTACACTAGATTCCCCCCAGTGTCTATTCTACAGGACCTCAACACAACTCTCGGGTCAAGAACACGTGATTGGCCTGACTAGAACGTAAATATATTTCCACACCAAAACCCGACACAATCCAACAGCAATGAACAATCAATAATAATAATTATAAGGATAGGAGAGTATATAACTCATCTGACACCTGTCAGACTATCTACATGTCTGACTAAGCAGACACCTAATCATTATCATCCTCGCCCGTACGTCACTTTTTTTCATCAGAATAATTTCTTTTGTCCCTTTTCTCTTGACTGTAATGCTTCTTCTAATCTGTCCCTAACCTTATTTTAAACATTATGCTCAATCTTATGGAAACTAACTACATGATTAAGTTATACGTATATATATATATATATATATATATATATATATATATATATATATATATATATATATATATATATATATATATATATATATATATAATATATATGAAAGTTATTTAATACAACATATGAAAAGATGTAACAGCTAGTATTTGAGTGGAAACTCCGAAATAGCAATGAAGGGGATCGAAAATGGGAACTGTTACAGTAAGATAAGTGTCCAACGAATACCCTAGAATTGGAAGTAACTTGCAAGTATTAGTAAGATACGATTACGATGGACAATTTGGACGTTATCAATTTATGTAGATGCTTAGACATATTTCACAATTAATACGTATAATTTAATAGTTGAATTCGTGAGTTGATTAAGCTAGATCACTATGGAAAACTTGGAAGCACTGATAGTAATACGCATAATACGATATTCACCCAAAAGTTATTATAATTGAACTGATTACTCAATATTAGTCAGTAGTTATTTATGTTTATTCGAAAACAAACATTGGTGCAAGTGGGCACTAAATACATATACTTCACACAATAACGATGAGGTTATGCAGAGATAATTAATGTAAAGTGCGTATAAGAAAAGAAAGAACAGAAATTAGTGTATGGGAGAGAAATAATAATGGGAGAAACAGTTCAGTTAACAGAAATACAAACAAAAAAATTCTTCCTGTTAACGAAGTTACGTTCACTTTTACAGCGGAGTCGCCTCTCGCTTCTATTCTGAGCCATGTCTAATGATGTCTTAAGCCATTGTGTTGTACCATTTCTAGGATCCCTCAAGATCATATGTCCACCATTAATTTGGAATCAAGGTTTCTCAATTCCTCTCGATGAATCCTCCATACCCACCAACCCAATCAAGACATCAGACATTCTCGTTATGAGAACTCTTTGTATACACGAAGCCATGGTATACGCAAGTAGTGTTATATAATATACAGGAGTAATGTAAAAAAAGTTAGAGAATGCCAACAAACTAAATACTTTAGGCGTGTTTGATTTGATATCTTATATGTATTTACAATACTGCAGTTGTTACATCTAATTCCTTAGACATAGTTTTATTGTTTCTTTCTGGGTATCACATTCTTGTCTTTCATTAATATCGAACTATGTGCATCATTTGTGTGATGTAAATTCATATCACGTTTGTTTCAAATACTTCCAATTTTTTCTCTTGGACTCCAGACATAAAATTGGCTCACATTTTGTTTATCATCCCAATAATGAGTACTATGATAAAAAGATCAAATTAAATTAAATAATGATACTGAATTACTCAAGATTTTCTATAAGTATGAATGAAATGAAAGCAGAACGAAATCGAAACACCTACCAAGTGTATTTTCATTAACAATCAATGGTCGCCTTGTACTGTAAAGAGACCAGGAGAAAATGCAGTTATTTGAAATACATTTCATACCAAACAACGCACAACCACATTAAAAACAAAATCAACTTTTGAATATGATTGAACTATTGTGCTTTTTTAGTGATATATATGTATAATTACTGGATAGCCTATCTTAGTAAAATTATGTAATCAAATCTTGACAAAAATTTGTATTCAAGATGTTTATTTTAATCTATAAAAACTCTTCTTTTTAGTTGATATTACCACATACCACAATGGATTTCATGGTGATGTGAATGAGACAGTGTTTGTTGGTCAACCAGATGATCGTTCAGTTAATCTAGTGAAAAATGCTTACAAATGTTTGGTTAAATCTATGGATGCTGGTAGGTTTATTGATTTTTTGCTATAGTCACCTAAATTACACATTGTTTGGTTATATATAGAAAAAAACGTCTTTTGATTTCTGTGTTGATAATAAATAGGTTCAAGCACCAACTTCGAGTATAAAGAGAGATAAATAAATAATAAATTTGTAATATCACAATGAGTAGAAAAATTAGATTTCCTGGCGTGTCGTGACTCAGTGTAAGCCACTTCTTCAGAGAATAAATAACTAAATCAAAATTATCCAAGTTTAAATAGTACAATGGAACAACAAGAATATTATTCTTGTTTGGTTTGGACATGTATTACGTATACCCATCCACTGAGTACCTTGAGTGGTATAGAAATAGTTTGGAAAAAAGCTAGGGATGGGCAAACCAGTGGCACTAGTGTACGAAGACATTGACTGTTGAACTGAGTCATTTAGACTGCCTGGTTAAGGTCTACGTGGTTATCATATTCAGTGGTTAGAGGCTTTGGGCGACATGTTTCATAATCCTTTGCATTGGCGCGAGTACTTTGACTCTTTGTCTTCCCTCAGATCCTAAGTTTCTAAATTTTCTATGATCTTTTTGTGGTTCAGCAATTTATATTTTTTCTAACTTTATTTGGGATACCCGACTTTCCCTATTACCATTGATACTGTTACTAACTATACTAATCCATGATTTGCCGTGACAGTTTCATCTCGTTGTGCTGATGGAATATAGCAACTTGAACCAATGTACACACGTACCAGGTTCTAACTTTCGTATAACTAACTGATTGAATAGAATATAGTCAGTAGATCGAAATTTTTGTGTTGGAGTGTAGTGTGTCATTCAGTTAGTAACTAGATTTGTACGCAAATTCATCTACTCGAAGCATGTTAACAGGGTGTTTTAAATCCTGAGGTATTGATTTTCCAAAGAGTATGGTAAATATCTAGCATACTAATCATATATAATTGGTTTTCTGCTCCTGTGTTTTGTTCAAAATGAATTAGTCATCATCACTAGCTTTGGACATTTATCGGACTATATCACAAGTTAATCGAAGTTGGAAATGTGTACCATTGTACTCTAATCTAGTGGTTTTAATGGTTGTGTTTACTACGTGGCCCAGAATTCTTGGATTATGATTATGCATCACTGTGGGTTTCTAACAGTAGGATGAAATAGATATTCAGTGACAACGCTTATGAGAGAAATATCACCTACATATTCAAATAATCTTCACTAATCCTCTTCGTCTAAATAAAATGGAATTTTTCGTTTTTTTTTAAATATTCTTTTCTCTGAATGTCTACATGATAACTTTTCCTTAATTAAATAATTTTAACGGTTACTATTTACATTATAATTTATTCTGGTTGTTATCATTCCATTCTCAACTTTACAATACAGTTTTCTATCTTCATATCAATACATCTGGATAAATATTATACTGTCAGAATAGAAAACTATTCTGTTTATCCATACCAAAAATATAGGATAACACTATTAAATCATTGACTAGTTGAATAACGTTAAACCTTCAAAATTAATGGCTAACAATTTAAAAATGATAATATTTTAAATCTTCAAGTCTAACAAAATACAAATTCATTTGTTATTTTACATCTTGTTGTGGTTAGTCAATATTTTAATACTTTTCTTAACTCCATCTTCAAAATTGTCTTTATTAATTTCACCCCTGTTTCCTAACTCTTTACTTATTCTTGACATTATTATTTTTAAGGAAAGATGGGTAGTGGCTAACAGTGGAATCCCGAGACTCGTTAGCTGGATGAACCCAGTACCATTCGCTTCAAACACCATCGGGTTGTCTACTCAGCTACTGAGTCCTGATAATCACTTGATTGTGCAATGGAGTGGATTTTGAATTCGCTTGGTATTGTTTTGCTTGAATCTTCCCATCGAGGTTTAAGACTGCAATTAATCAGTCTGGTACGTCCAGCTGACGAGTCCCTAATCGAACGAAACGCGCGTCCTGGATTCCACTGATAACCACTATCCATCTTTGCATATAAAGCTTGTGAATTAAGGCAATATAGAGGCAATACGCACAGTATGCACATATACCAATAACAGACTGATCAATTGCAGTTCTAAACATCAATTGGAAGATTCAAACAAACAATACCAAGTGAATTATTATTTTTATTCTACTGTTCTCCCATTTTATCAATCTCTTTTCAATGAAGTAGTACGATTTACCCTTATATTTTATCTCATTTTCTATATATTTACCAAAGTGATCTTATTAATACTATTGTTTCCTTTATGAAATAATATACTTGTAATCCTCGAGTCTTCATAATGTAGAACACTTGATGAATGTAGAAAGTTTCATCAGTTTTAAATGATTAATAATTCTTGAAATTATATAGATGTTATATAGGTATTAATCTAGTAGTTTACTTACTCTTTCATCTTTTTATCTTAACATTTTAGTTCTTCCAGGTGTTAAATATCGTGAAATGGGAGATATAATTTCAAAAAATGCATCACTTGGTGGATTTTCTGTTGTCAGGACTTATTCAGGTCATGGAATACATCGGTTATTTCATTGTCCTCCAAATATTCTTCACTATTCACGTAAATTCACTTTATCAAAAAAAAAACATTTTCACTGTTTTATATATAAAGTATATTTGTAAATTCAGTATAACTATGTAAGAATAGGTGCTTATTTTTGCCGTATTCATAACGATAGATTGATTCATAAATCAACGGAATATACCCATTAAAACATTAAATAAGAAAGATTAGTTCATAAATCATCATTGATGTATAAACATTAGGAAGTGTATTAAAATTTGGGTTTTGTCATTCTATTACCCATTAACACACACACTGATCGTTTAATTTCATTAGGAGATTCTTGAATCAGATGAAGAAAAAAATTGCTTTTTACTTTTTTCTTTAAAAAAAAAAGATACAAAACAAAAACAACCACAAAACTAATTGATATCATGCAAGAGAAACGATTTCTATTCAATGAAAATTCTGAAAACATCAAATAGTCATAAATTGTTCTTCTTTGTGATACATTGATAACATATTGATGTAGTTCATAGTACTACTTATTAAATTCTAGTGAAGTAGTAGTAGTGATACGACAATCTTAATTATTATGTTCAATTTTATGTATTAATAATTTGCGGTTAAGGTTGTGAGTATTTTTGTTGTTTTATTTCTTATCGATGTTTAGTCATCTCCTTGGCAGACACCTCTTTGATGTCTATTGAATCGTCATTTCCTGTGTAAGAACATACTTCGTTTTAAAGATATATTTTGATGATAATCTACAGAGACTTCTGCATATCGATATATATATATATATATATATATATATATATATATATATATATATATATATATATATATATATATATATATATATATATATCGGTTACAAATGATGTGTAAAATTGAAATACAATAACTCATCCAGTAGTCGCCCATACCTTTCAACCTCAAGTGTGTTTTTGCAGCAGTCTAAAAATTACTCAAAAATTTCCGTTTAACATAAAGCAACTATTGTTTGATGAGTTAAGTATTTTGGTATACATATGATTTATTAGCATCAATCATCTGTTTGATCGTATAAACTATTGATCATCTGTGTATAATCCTCTTACTACAGGCTCTTGCTCTCATTGTTAATTCATGGTTTTAACGTAACTGAGTGGGCCAAGTATTAAATTCATATCTATCGTTGAAAATAGTACTTAAATTATTATACAACACATCGTTTAAATTAACTCATATTGTAGTATAATTAAATAATAAACTTTAAATATTTCGGCTTGTTTCTTTAATACGTTTTAAAGGTAATAAGGCAGTCGGTGTCATGAAACCGGGACATTGTTTCACTATTGAACCAATGATAAATGAAGGCGATTGGCATGATGAATTATGGCCAGACAACTGGACTGCAGTTACTAAGGATGGTTTAAGATCAGCTCAATTCGAACATACTATGGTTATTTTAAAGCCAGAATTAGCCACATCGAATGGAATGGCAATCGAAGTATTAACTAAACGTCGTATCAGTGGTGCTGATCCATTAAATGGATGTAAATTCAATGAAGAAGATGCTTTACATTTTGAACGTTATGGTAGACCTTATTTTGTAGACCAATTGTACAAATTAGGTTTAAATACTGATTGTACAGTGTTTAAAAGTACGTCTAAAAATTAGACAATTTATAAAACTTTCAAAATTTGAAAAAATCCAATCTCTTTCATATTGAGCGAATACTTTTACGCTTTTTGTGTACGAATGATCTCAGTAGAAGAAAAGAACTGTATTCAAAGATAATACTTCCTCTTTTGTGATATTGATTCTTGTTTCATTTCTATTATTATATTATTAAGTTAATACTCGATAATCTATAATAAGACGTTAATATTATATGTTTGTACTAAGGTAGCTGTAACAGTAATATCGATTTTAGAATTTGATGGTTGCATTCTAGACTACGCGATGATACGGATAACGAAGAGGCTACAGGACATTCATTAAATTCAGTCAGCCATAGACAACTTAAAATCTAGAATATATCTGCACTGGTCCAAGTTTACATACTGCGATAACAAAACGAAATGAATTTGTCAAGATAAATACCGAAGTATTATTACCATCGGTGTTTGTAAAAAGGGTTAGGTTTAGAGAATATGACTGAAGAAGAAAGAAATTATTCGTATGATGAAAAGTGAAGAGTAGTCCCGAATTTCAGGTTATAAGAGAACACAAAGAGTGCACATATGTGAACCGCATGACACAATGTCTCCAACCATTCATAACCTCGAATGAACAGTCTACACACATCAACGCGGTTCAGACATATGGTTAATGATTTTGTGCTGTGATGGGATATGTTGATTTGGTTCTCCTTATCTTTTTTCCGTCACACTGCAACTGACATAATTCGTTGACGTGGGTGGTTGTTAATTCTACGTAATAAATGTGGCAATAAGTTCAATTGATGAAGACTCAGTACTCCGTGAACTTTGCCATTTGTGTCCAGTGCCGTACATCTAATTTATTTCAACACATAGATATTGGTACAAAGAGTCACCAAATACGTATGCACCATACAAATCTCATTCGATATGTGTGAGGGCTGTGATACTGCCCGGGTGCCCAAACCGAATCAGGTGGTTTTCTTAGGGGGCCACACCCCGAGCCTTCGATATGAGGGTCTGATCCACAAGGCAGTGGAGCATCGTAAGGAGATGCAGTCCCATGGAAGCCGGTGGCCAACAATTGGTTCGTACGTCATTTTTTCCCACAGGATACTGGAGCCCATGTGCACCATTGGTTTGGAATCCGGTTAAAGCGCCGGACATTCGCTTTCCGTCCTCTCAGTTTCGTAAACAACAGTAATGCCACGAGAAGGCAGTGAGTAGGACTTCCCTGTCAGAGGCTATATACGCGTGGCCATGTAAGAGCATTTCGAGAAGGAGAGCGGACTCTCCCCACTCTCGGCCGTACCAGGGCATCTAATACAAACACTGATTATCTTGTGATTCTAACATTCGTGATTAATGCTTCTAAGGTATTTGTGATTAAATACTTGCAGCGTATGAATATATATATATATTCCCGAAATTACTCAGTTTTCTTCTCTTTAGTAAGCGTCATTTCGTAAGATTGAATGTGTGCTATCCAGATATATGCGTATATACTTTGTAGTGAGTATAAATAACTCAACTTTATTTTCTCTGTATTAATCAATGAAATAATTTGCTTAGCGACTGAACAAAGACTTATTATACTCCTGTATAAAATAGATGACCTAAATTGGAATTATTTAAATGATGTATGGCATAGTTTTAACCAAACTTGTAGTTGTTTTATTTACAGTTATTAAGATGCTAAAAATATCTTTTGTGTTTTTTAATTTTCCATTTCAATGTTTGTAGTTCCAAAAGATTCTAGAATCATTTACGTATAACTGTGTATGATTGTATATCGGTGACCGATTTACATATTGATATATATATATACGTATATATCGGTGTACACTTCGAAATCTTTCCATTGAAAGGCCGTGGATGATGTTTCTCAGACAGTTGTCCGTTGGGCTCTGCGGTCGCGCTCTCAATTCACTAAGATCATCATTACACAGCTTCATATTCAGGTCATTTGTCAGCTGGAAGTGACAACTGCTCTCGCACCTCTAATAGCACCTGATATCATCTTGTGCACGAACAAATTCATCTTTCACGACTCCGCATTCTCGCATATCTCTGACGTCACGCGTAACCAATGCTAATAATTTGAGTTCACGAAGTGTTATTCCTGGTCCTCTGAAATCACTCTCTAAACCACATTTTGTGGCTTACAATGTTCAAACTTCGTTTCAGGTAGGAGGACAAGGTTTTTTAGTTACGTTTCTAGAATTTCGTCCCTTCTATGTATGCTGCTCCTCCGGAGCGCACAAAGATGTTCTAAGTACGGTCATTCACTTGACCTCAAGTCGAGACCCTACTGCCACTTCTTGTAATCTCACTGGTGTATTAGTAGAATGTGATTCAAATGTAGAATAGGCTCTCCTAGACTGGGTTGTAATATATTGTAGCTTGTAGGTTGTTCGACTAAATGGGACAGTAAGTATTAGGAAGAGTAAGGGTACACTCCATCGCCTCTCTCGGGTGAAGTAAAAGATAACTGCTACAGGAAGCTATCCAATCCCTGAAATACTGAACCCTTTGATGTAATAATAATGATATGTAATTGTAATCCCCACGTAGACAGTCTAAAGCAAACCAAAAGTCAGCTCAGCGAATAGATAATGGCATCTGTCTGCTGCAACTATGCTCAGACAACCGCCTATTCCTGGTGCACCAACTTCGAGCATGAGGAAGAATATCGTGATGACCCCACAATCGACTCGACGATGGACCCAAATAGACTACATTATTGTCAGTTAGCGTAAGAGAGGTTTGATAGACTGTCGCTCATTTCGGAGCGTAAATCCCTAATTTTAAACCATAGGTGTCTTCGAAGTATCGCTCATATATTTTGGCACCATCGGTCTAACAATTTGCAGGTTAGACGTATAATACAAGGTTAGCAGAAAAAAATCAACTAACTAGTTAGTGAATTTTTATTAGCAAAACCAAAACATGGTGCCAGTCCATGATGACATCGACCGTTGAACTGAGCCATGTTAACAGCTGCAAATTACTTAAATGAGGTTTTTGTGATTGTCGTAACCTATGTTAGAGACGGTGCAGTAACTCGATATCGTATCTGGGATGCCCAGCCTGTTTTACTACTGCGGTATATGCTCCTTACATCGACAGACATAATTAATATGTAATGCCGATCGAAAGTGAAAAATATGGCAGTAGAAGGGTAAGAAGATCGAGTTGAAGAGAATAGAAAGGGATTGTGGACTAGAAGAATCATGCAGAATGTGAAGGATAAATGATGGGAATTCGCAAATGAAGTATTCAGCGTAAGGTTTTAATATTTTAGCAAGATATTCTGTAATTGTTCCCCACTTGTATTCTCGTTCAGAACAGTACCACCAATACTGCTTCTACATTACTACTTTAAGGTTACTCGTGCCAATTTCATCTTGCTGTGCTAATATGGTGTGGAAAATCGAATTGTTGTACACACGTGTCACGTTTAATATAATGTTTAACTGACTAACGGTCAAATGTTGTCCAGATTACTCACGTACTTTTCGAAAATATCTTTCCGATCAACTAGATAAACGTCAATGTGCCAATCCAACTAGTTAGATCTTTACATTTCAATTTTAAACAGTCAGATGGATGAGAAAATTGATAACTGAGTTGTTGAAACCACCATGTTCTAATAATGTGAAAGAATGTAGCATATAACACCTTTATTAAAATAAATATGATAGGCCAATCGAATTTCACCTGAAAATTTTCTAATCAATGTAGTACATTTGACTGAATATTTTCTACGTATTGGATGGTATTCTTTTCTGCATAAAGTGAACAGTGTATAAAAAGTAAAATATGAACAAAAGAGAATTTGTTGGTTACTAAAATCACAATTCTATAAATAAAAAAGAATGCGCTCTGGTCGTGCAGCTTGGATTGGATTAAATACAGCCTCATATATATGTGAATTGGTATTTTTGGGTTTGGCAATTACAGTACAAATATCATCCGATTGGGCTGTTTACGATGTTACGTATATTGGCCTTATTGATAATTATAATCAATTAAGTCGCTCTCGTGGATTATGGAAGCAATGCATTACTAATCAAATAGGTAAGGTTTCGGGTGTAATATCTTTATTAATAAAATTTATCATCAATTGTAACCTACTGTAAATGAATGCATATAATTACTCTCTTGATTGTTAGAGTAACCATTTGCTTGTTTCTGTGACCATACATCTTATAGACTGAAATCAAGTGAAAGACTTATGGGTGAATTTCAATGTAAATAGTAGAAAATTAAGGAATTGATAAAGGATTGGGCACAGTCTAGGATAGAAAATTCAGGTGAGACTAATTTATAGACGACTTTTGAGCGATGCCCAAGTGACCTTGAGAGTGTGTACCTACTCACTAGAGCCAAATGGGGGTTATAAGGCAGTTTGAAGAATAAGGATTATGACTCACATTGGATGGTTAGGGTTAGGAATTAGATTTCCGGTTTTCATCATGAATTGACATCAGCTAAAATGTCAAGACGCTATTTGGCCAAGTGGGTGAGTGAATTTCGTGACGAAATCCAAGACCTATTATCCTAAATGTGATTGATTCGTCCATAAATTATAGTCTTCAGATATCAATATCACTAAAATTCATTTTCCAATGAACAGATGAACAATCCGAAATAATTGACGATTTATGTGCGAATCGTGGTGAAGAAGTCTGATAGAAAACGGAATTGAAGTGAAAATATACAATCTGAAAAGGCTATTCATAATCATAAGAATACTATAACAGTAATTTTAAGAAAACAATGTGTTGACCTATATTAATTATCTAGACAGCGTTTTATGTAGAAACAGTCGATTGCCAAATGTGGATGAGGTCATAATTTACGGGTGATCATTGAGTGATTGTGAAGTGACCTTGTGAAACTTCGACTAATTATTACTCTCAGTATAGGGTTATGGATTTTTGTGAGGAATGAGAAATAGGCTTTTTGAGTTTGAGCTAAGAAACAGAGTCAGAGTTGTCATCACGAACTGACATTGGGCCTAATATGAATAATATTCAACACTTTTATGGTATAGATTAAAGTTTACAATTTTAATAGACAGTTGTCTAATGAATTCCATTTGTGATTGTTTTGAGAAATATATCTATTTATGAAATATGCATTATCA